TGTAAGAGCTGATAGAATTTGACTTAGTTGTGTTCTCTAAGCAGGTTGATTTAATTGCGAAGCTTTCGTTGTCCTTCTAGACAACATCTTCAGCGCATGTTTTAGCATACAATGAACTTATTTTAATTCTACATGAGTGATATAATTGTATCTGGCTAGTTGTTAATTTACTAAAACCGTGCACTGAAGAAGTTGCCTAGATGGACGACGAATGCTTCGTAATTAAGTTAACCAGCCCTGAGAACAAAACCAAGTCAAAATTACCCAATTCAGTAATAGAATTATTCGACGAAACAGCTATCCACTAATCCCTGGTTTTAAGTGGATCTCAACCTGCATCATTAAAGTTACCCAATATTCTTCACTACCAAACACCATGTTGCCAAGCTACTCTCATTTGCTGAATACGAATCTGGGAGTGCTGGACAGCTGTTTCGTCCTGGTTTGGAACTCATCATCAGTACGCACACACACCACCACCAAGGTTCGAACACAAGGCCTTGCCCTCCGGTTACATATCGGCAGAAGTTGGAATTCATGGGTTGGCTCACCTTGGTAACCAGAAGAGCCTGGGTTCGACCAATGGTGGTAGGTGCGTAATAATGAGGAGCCCCAAAACTAGGACGAAACAGCTATCCAGCATTCGCAGGTATCCTAATGTTTCTCTTAATGATGTCAACTTGTGATCCATCCTGATATACGAACGTATCAGCAGTTAGTTAGTTAGTTAAGTCTGCTAATGATGCTTAAAATTGTCGCTTTCCTTGTGTGTTCTCATGATGATACCCTCCTACGGAATATACAACGAGTAAGCAATTTTTTATAAGATATTCAATAATAAGTCAAATAAAAGTACACAATATTCATCAGAGAGATTAGAGTTAACAAAAACACACACTATCAAACTACAACAGACAGTCAGTCAATAATACTAAACAGAGTCAGATGACTTTATAGAGAGAGTTTCATAATAAGTAACAAAACAACATAATAATATGAAATGCTATAATGAACTTTGAAAAATCTTGTTAACGTTTGTGGACTTGGTTATTTAATCAATTGAAAATACACCCCATCACCTCTATTCTGGTGGTAATCAATCCCTACACACCGAAGTAGACGAGGCATAATGATATTATTATTATTATTGTGATTGTTTCCTTTAATTCCTAGAGGAATACATAGGGCTTCAGTCGCACGTCTCCACTGTGATCGGTTCTCTGCTTAAGTTTTCACCTGGCTCCTAGTCTGCCTACATGCTTTCATCTCCTCTTCACATGACCTCCTCCAAGTCACCTTTGGACGACCAACTCACCACTTCCCTTTCGGGTTCCACTCGAGCAATGGTTTGTCTAGTGATGTCACTCGATGATGGTTTGTTTTCTCAGAGAATGGCCAATCCACCTCAATTTCGTCCTGCTTATTTGTCGCACAATCGGTTCTTGCTGGGTTGGTTCGCTCATTGCCAGAGATCCATCCCTGTTGCTGATGGTTTCTGGCCGGCCATCTGATCTTGAGTAGTATTGAGCGAAGACAGCTGTTGATTGATGAAGGTCTGTAGTTTGTTTGAGATGCTCTTTATGACGCACTGGCCAAGTCTCTGATCCGTACAGTAAGTAGCACTGATTGACTTCACATTGGAGTTGAGCATCCGGATCTTATTTTTGATGCTGAGTGCTGTTGATCTCCACACAGACCTGAGAGTAATGAAAGCTTGTCTTGCTTTTCCGATTCTTGCTTTGATATCCTCGTCAGTCCCGCCTGTAGTTGAAACGATGCTTCCCAGGTAGGTGAAAGAGGTTGTTTCTTCCAAGTTCCTTCCATTTATGCTGATTGTTGTCTGTTTCTGTTGTTGTTGCTGTTGGTGGTGTTACCCAGGAATCTTCATCACCTCTGTTTTCTCTATGTTCACCTGAAGTCCTATCTTCTCTGGATGTTTCATCTGCCAACTTGTTGCTTTTCGCTTGCATATCATCGGCGAAGTCTAGATCCTCCAAGTTTTTTGTGTGAGTCCATTTTATGCCTGTTTCCTGATTCCCCGCTGTTTGTCGCATTATCCAGTCTACTGCAATCAGGAAAAGCATTGGCGATAGTAGTGATATACTGTGTGAAAATAATTGTGAAACTTTTAGAAAAATAATACGTGTTTACAGACTGTGTTGAAAACACCAATCACACACACACCCGCCAAAGAACACAACTTTTAATAAGCAACACTAAGAGGGTACAAGTGGAAACGAGGCATTTTCCTCATGCGATAGCATAACCCACCCCCCCCCCACCCCCGCGGCACATATATTAGCATGAAACCATGATAATTCAATTTTATGTGTTTAAGCCTGAAGCCTAAATATGAGACTATCAAAACAACATTTACTTCCACAGACTGGTAAGACCTGTGTTCAATTGGAACTGGTGAATTTACGGGTAGGGCTTTAACAACAATATCCAGAACTATATAATGATGACGTCAGATACTTTCCATCAACTCAGCTAAACTATACCTAGTATAAAACGTACATTTAAAACCTATGAAGCGTGAATAGTCTCAAAAATGAGCTAGCAGCTTAGTAACCCTCGCCAGCTACTTAGCTATCACACGGGTTATGCGCCAAAACAACTATCTGTTTTAGTTTGTGTGTATTTAGAACCATTTACGGTTTCTTGTCTTACTGTATTAAGGGTGTCAACACTACAGTTGAAGGTTTATTCATTAAGTGAGTCATCGAGGAGAGAGCTAAAAACGACTGTAGAGGATAGAATGAAATGGAAGCGGGCCGTTGAAGACTAACTGACTGGTTTCAACGTAGAACTTTGCACAGACGTGCAGCAGTTTAAATCGAAAGACTCCCTCCTTATAGCGCACAGAGCAAGAGAAGAGAGTAAAGAGAGATAAGATATACACAAGTGTGAAGGAAAAACAGTAAAAACAAAGAAGAACAATAGAGCTTTATTGGATCTGACTGGCAAATCACAAAGTGAATGCATCTGCTACAGTCATTGGAAACGACGATTTCGAGGCATATCAGTTGTCCCCAGCCATCATTGGTTCTTACTATCCCGAGGATCTCAAACCAGGAAGTCTACACCTACCTGCGTGGCTGGCTGGCTGGCTGTCTTAAACTAACTGTTGTGGATTTCACTGACTGATGAAACCATGTTTTGGTTTAACCACCACTAGCTTTCTCTTTTCCAACCTGATCCATCCTATGTCAATCAGCTGAAATTGACCGTCAAGGAAGGTAAAATCGATGGCTAAACATGCGTAACATATGTCCTAACCAACTCAATCGGTGTAACTTCACAATCTCGTTGATTGATTTTCCCTCCTTATCTATCACTCACAACGCCTACCCACAACACGGGAGACAGAACGCACGCAGCTAGCCATTTCATGTCTTCCACTTTCAATTGCCATTTATCAAAACACAGCCATAAAGAAGGACAGAGAGAAGCCTTTTGTTCCACTCCAATCATCCAAGGGAGTAAAGTTAGTAAGAGCAATGTGTTGTATCCAGGATACTATTTTCTTTATGTACATCAGCACTTGTGAGAATAACCTGTCTGTCTGGATTCAACAGAGAACTTGACAACAAAGTGCAGCAGTTCCAGTTGCCACGTTCCAAAAATCACACAAAGGTAGACAAAAAGATGAGGGAAGAGAATCAATAGAGTTTTGACAAGTATAAGAGTGAAACAGAATGAGTAATGGTAGAAAGTAGTATGAAAGATTACAGAGACTGAATACATCTGCGTAAGCCATTGACAACGATTTTGAGCCATGTCACCTATTGTCTCCAGCCATTGATTCTTAGAGTCTCGAGGGCCATAACCACATTACCATCTGTATAGTATCCAGTTTTATTCTAAGAATACTTCTTAATTTTACGCCACCAAAAGAGACCACTTTCAACTACTACTGTGGTGAGAGCTGGCTGCTAGCCAAAGTTGCTGGCCAGTAATTGACGTCAATCTTTATGTCCCCAGTATTGGTCGTGAGAAAATGAGAAGAAAGGCTTTGCGTAGGAGGATACAGTTAGCATATGGATGATCTGACACAGCCACAAAGAGATGCAAGGTTAACTTCTATGAAAAACAACCAATCAAAAGACTGTATTTTCTACTAACAATAATCTACAATAATGTACATTAAAATCTATAAATATGTGTTGATTTTCATTAATAAACGATCTGTTGCCTGGCCCTTGTCTTCTGTTGTTACACTACTACTACTGTGGCAAGCTCTACTGATAAGATTTATCAGTAGTATGTAAAGGGACGTTCATCAGCATAAAAACATCAAATAACAGGGTGATGCATTTGATGTCAGAGAAAGTAAATGATCCAGCCTTGCGGATAAACATGTGAGACGTGTAAAGGAATACAAAGAAACACAATAAGAAGGAAGTCGAAAAGTAGCAGGACAACACGGAAGATCTTTTTTCAAATGATGCGTGCATTGAAGATAATTCGGCTATTCTATATATAGAGAGAGACACCAAATTACAAATAAACATTCCTTTAACCAAGTGTGTGTCTCTTGTCTTAAACCGTTAGTTACACTACAACCGCTTTACAGACAGACAGACAGACAGACCACTTTATAACTAACTAACTACACAGTACAACATGGTTAGTTGTATACACAATCTATAAAAAAATCTAGACAAACATATTTATTCAATAAAGTCCAAGGTTCAATAATCAAAATAAGTAACAAACAAAAGAAAAGAAAAGAGAAAAAAATAGTAAACTAATTTAAATACCGAAACAGAGAGAGAGTGAAAAAGAGGCACAACACAATCCCCTTATATAAATACTCACACACCACACACGCACACACACAAACGCACAAATACAATGGTTAGCGGAAAAAATTACACGCATTCGTGTGTGTCTGTATGTGTGTGTGTCGTGGTGAGTTTAGTTTGTACTATCTTCATGAATAATAATAATAATAATAATAATAATAATAATAATAACACAACTAACTGACTTACCTATACCCAAATGTGTATTAATACTGGCATATCGTGCTGTCCCGGTAAGATTTTTATTCTCTCGATATGGTATATGCTGACGTGTTCGACTGTCACGATATTTTTTAGCCAAACCGAAATCGATTAGATAGACTAGATTGCCACGTTTACCCAAACCCATAAGAAAATTATCCGGTTTGATGTCACTAAATTTATAAAAACGAACAAAAGAAATAATAATAGTAATAATAATTAATAATACTACTTATGGTACTGTTCGAAGCGCTTTCTATAACCCACTTCTCTCATTGGCTGACGACTGTATGAAATGATCATTGAAAATCGAAGATATGAAAAGGCTAGTTGACTGAGATGACTGTCTTTTTTGACCAGAGATGTTTGCATTGTATGCCTCCCCCTCCTCATAACTCCTGGAGACGTACGTGGTTCATTGGTGCTTAAGCATTCGACTTTCGGATTCCAATCCCTCCAGACTTAGTTCAGTCACTTAGACAACTTGGTTAGTATCATCACCAACCCACTTCAAACAATAAGTGTGGCGCTCCGGGAACCAAGTTCACTATCCTTTATGAAATGGTATGATATGACAAGTAGGACTCAAGCTGGCGGATTGAGTGTTAGGTTGTATCGACAGAAGACAAGGGTCAAGCAACAGATCGTTTATTGAGAAAATCAACAGATATTTATAGATTTCTATGTACAATCTGTCTGTCTGTCTGGATTCAACATAGAACTTGGCACCGAAGTGCAGCAGTTCCAGTTGCCACGTTCCAAATACCACACAAAGGTAGACAAGAAGATGAGTGAAGAGAATCAATAGAGCTTCGACAAGTATAAGGATTTCATGGATTGATTGATGGCATGTTTTTGTTTGGTCACCACTTACTCTTTTCCAACCTGCATCTACCTTATCAGCTAGTAATGCCCGTCCGTCGGGGGAGGCGATGGTTAGGCATGCGCAGCACGTCACCTAGCCATCTCAATCTATGTAACTTTATAGCCTCGTCGATTGATTTTCCCTCTTTGCCCAACACTCTACGCCTAACGTCAACATTACTTACCTTATTATGCCACCTAACGTGAGAAAGAGATTGTAGACATCTATGATCCAGAACAGTCAACCTTTTCATGTCTTCAACTCGTATTGGCCATGTTTTAGAGCCATAGAGAAGGATGGAGCGAACTGGTGAGCAGTACACACGTCCCTTGGTTGATAGCCGGATGTCACGCCTACGCCATTATTGTCAGCGGAGAAGAAACATCTTCTGATTGGTTGTTTTCTCGCGAAAGGTTATTCTATGCTGTTTTGTGACCGTTTCTCAGAAATTTAAGCCATATATCTGCGAATCGTATCTGCACACGTTAAGTCTACTGTGATTGGTTGGTAAGTTCCACAAGGTTAAGCTTTGTTATCTTGTTTTTCTCATGGCCCCAGATCGGGACGTAAACATTGACCTCTACAATTTTGCCTCGCAGACAGCTCTCACCACAAGGTAGGCAAGCTAAGTTAATGCATTGGGTTAGGAAACTGCATCGACTGAGATGACTGGGACATGTGTCAGGCATTCTGAGCCATCGTCTTCCTCAACATAGGATTGATCAGGTTGGAAAAGAGTTGGGTATGGTTGTTGAAGCAAAACCATGAAGTTTCTGACAGTTGGTTTACAACTAAATGGAGAAAGGACATTATATAACTCATCTTTTGAATCTAACGTTTCTTCTCTTTAGTCTACCTTTATATGCTACATGGAGTGTGGCAAAGATCTGCGATGAAATTCAGTCATTCAGTCAGTTGGATTGGAAGTCAACTGGTTGGATCAATGAGTCACACAATTGTATTTCACATCATTGGTCTAAACACATCCGCTCTTCAAACCACTGCGGCCACAGGTTCGAATCCTGCTCTCTTTGAGCAGGTAGGTAGTATCACTAGCTATCACATGATAGGCGCAATGAACTCATTGTGAAAACAAATGTATTTTGTTTGACACCAGTAGACATCTGATTTCATTGCATGAATTCTGTGTATATCTACTAAAAGTTATCCATTTCCCGCCTTTCTCTCTTCTCCACCTCTCAAAAAATCGATTACTCTGTGCCAGTAGAAAGCTGTCTAATCACTGTCCAAAATACTCTGATTGACACTAGTTAGAAACTAGTATTATGCGTCTAATCGCTTTTTTGGTGAAGACCAAATTCTATCAGTCAAGTTTGCAATGTGGTCACCATGCCGCTTAGGTGGCTTGACACCATGGTGCACTCTAAATTGTTATTAAAAAAAGATGGTTGGAGGTAGTCGGCAGGAAGCCCACGACCTAGGTTTCGTCATTGCTGGCAATCACCAGTCAGCAAGGTCTATTTGATTTCTTGAAGTAACTGAATGTCTATGCTCACATTTGAACCGGTGTCAGCCAGTGCCGCGCAGTCAGAGACGTTACCACTGTATTCTTTCAAGAGTGTAGATAAACCTTACCGACGAGTGACAACAAGCACGAAACCTAGGTTGAAGGCTTCCTTTGGCCAACTGCCCCAATCATCTAATAACGAGAAATTCAGAGTGGTCATCAAAATGTCAGGTATTGGAATCAAACTACTATGCGTAAGAATAACCAACATAGGAAGTAGTGAAAATTTAGACTATAGGTGCAATCAAATGAAAAGTTTTATATTACATTTAATGATAACAACTAAATCAAAAGTAATACCTATTTTAATTACGCTATATAAATTCTTAGTTACAGAAAAGAAGGCGATCATAAAAACTATCTTAGTAACTATAAAAGTAACTCTGGAATGATGAATAGGTTACGTAAACTTTACTACGTCAGCACATAGAGAAGCATAATAAACCATAACAGTGAGATATGATTGACTTATCTTGCAAGGTATCACTATCACGTCAACAGTGTGATTAACGCATCACAGTTATTCAGACAGTTTTAATATTTTTTTTTAAAAAGTTGTAAAACATCACGTCAGATGAGCAAACTTCAAAAAAGGCGCTATATACACAATCATAAGGTTGGTTAAGAGTACTGGCCAATCACAATACAAGGTACGAAGTGCTTAACTGATTACTACGCGAAACGACCTTGAGGTGACACACACACCTACATTTAGAACAATCCCTTACAGGATTATCAAAATTTCCTAAACAGTATACTATACTACACAATTTACCTGAGAACCATCGTTTCAACTACAGGCGGGAGAACTGATGAGGATATTAAAGCAAGAATCGGAAAAGCAAGACAAGCTCTCATTTCTCTCAAGCCTGTGTAAAGGTCAACAGTAATCCTCAGAATGAAAATGAAAATAAGATCCGGATTTTCAACTCCAATATGAAGTCAGTCTGTGCTACTTACTATACGGATCAGACACTTGGCCAGCGCGTAATAAAGAGCACCTCAAACAAACTACAGACCTTCATCAATCAACAGCTGTCTTCGCTCAATACTACTCAAGATCAGATGGCTGGCCGGAAAAGATCAGCAACAGGGATCACTGGCAATGAGTGAACCAACCCAGCAGGAACCGATTGTGCAACAAATATGCAGGAAGAAATGGAGGTGGATTGGCCACACCTACCTTTAGAACAATCCCTTAGAAGATGCCCAAAATTAACCAAAAAGTATACTATACTAGACTATACTATCAAGCCTCATAACATGAAAATAACACTAAATCCACTGAACCATGAACAATAAGAAAAGTGTCACTTTTCAAGAGTTTGTTTTTAAGTATTTGATTTGTTTCAAATTTGAATATGGATAAGGAGTCTTCGGTAATACCGCACCCCCGTCGTCGGGATTCAAACTCAGAACATTCCGGTTACAAATCAAGCTCGTTGACTATTCAGCCACTGGGACCTTAGTCGACTGGCCCATGAATTCCAACTTCTATCAATTCGTGCGTGATCTTGGAACCGGTCAATATCAAATTCCAACAAGCAAACTCTTGGAAATTGACCTAATTAATGCTCGCTAATGACTGGCTGCAAAGCGAAATTGCCTGGAGTTCTAGTGAAAAGTTGAGAGCGGTGCTGTCCACCTGGCCATATGGATGACACTGACTGATGCTGAGTCACGCTTCAAAAAAATCATCAAGTAGTAGGATCTAGAATTCATGAGCCGCCTATCGGGTCGTGTTTCAGTGGATGAATGCCTTGTAACCGAAATGTCCTGGGTTCGAGCCTCAGCGATAGGTGTGTACTGACGACAAGTGTCAAACTGGGACGACACAACTGTCCAGTACTCCCCAGTGCTGGCTTTCAATGGTTCTCTCTCTCTAACTCATATCAATCCATGGTCAAACTCGAAAAAAAAGTTTTCTAAAGTAACCTGGATTATAAAGTCATTATTTTCACAAAATAATATTAATAATAGGAAGTAGAGTGTAGAGTTTATATACAACACAATCATGCACAATCAAACACACACATACACACACACACACCGTCGAAAAAAACAAACTGGACTCTCTCTATACAATGCACTAATAATATATAGCACAGAACATACGAGAGATTGACACTTTTTACATATCATATGATTAATTAGTCTAATGTTGTCAAGCTTAAAAAACTCTACGAAAAAAACCTACTATATTTTCAAGGCTTTAGTGAAATAGCGAACTAACACACCAAAAAACAAATACGTTTTGCTTATAACATATAATATGTATGTAGTTGAGAAACGGAAACGATATTTTTTGTCAGATCAATGAAATATTAGAAACAAGTACAGAATAGAACTATTTTTAAATAATGAGAAGCTAGGAAAAATCGGGCTGAAGAGTACCAAAATGGGACGAAACGCGCCTCTTAGATATCATTACTAGGCACTGACAAATAATGGACCAGGAGTTCGTATTTTCATGCTAAAATGACGACAATTAACAGGAAACCGGAATCGCACAACAAAAGGTGGCTCTCGTAGCCAAGAGCTTGACGAGATAAGTGCTGGCTTCCAATCTCAGTGAGAACACAGCATCACTCACCGGGGAGCAGATACATTCAAATAACGTGTTCCGGAATGAGAAGGAAAGCGTGCCAAATATGTATACCTGTGTTGTAAGTTGTGAAATACCGGCTAACAATAACCGTATGCAATAAACATTCGTGCAACTGCAATACACACACACACACATACACACACTGGTCACGGAGGCGAGGGATGAGGAAGTC